GAGATCATCTGGAAATAATAAACTCTCAATAACGTTCTACCACGTCAATTACAAATATTGCAAATGATAGAGGACCCAGATGCGATCCCTGTGGAACTTCAAAAAGCACTCTAATTTTTTCTGCCGTAAAACTTTTGTACTTTCAATACTGAGGTCTGTACGATAAATAGCTTACAAATCACATCAATTTTGCAAATAGTAGAGGACCCAGAAGGGATCCGTATGGAACTCCCAAAAGTACTTTAATTTCTTCTACGATAAAGCTTTTGTACTTTCAATACCGAGGTTTGTACGATAAATAGCTTACAAATCACATCAATTTTGCAAATAGTAGAGGACCAAGAAGGGATCCATATGGAACTCCCAAAAGTATTTTAATTTCTTCTGCCATAAAGCTTTTGTACTTTCAATACTGAGGTCTATTCGATAAATATATCACAAATCATATCAATAGATTGCCCACAAATCGAAATGATTCAAGAAAAGCATTTCTATTAGATTGCTTTTTGGTTATTTGCCCATAATAGGTAAGAATTCCCCACTGGTAGTTTTTTGTCGTTCATTATCGTTTCGACGCAAAAAATCCTTGAAACTTTCAAGAGTTTATTATTCCATCAAGTTCATCGCATTGAAAGAGCAACCAACCCTTATCGGTCCGTTTTCTGTCACGACATGCGTGATCATTAGAGGGTCGAACCGCTATCGCGACCTCAAGTTCGCGTGCAATGACCACTGGCTGTCGTTAATTTACTTTATTCATTCTCATTCGTTAGGATATGAACCACGCGAGAAATGGTGAGTCAACACGTGTGAATATTATTACAGAGGCAGACAAAATAAGCAACTATTTTTGTGTGAAATGAACCTGTTACTTCCTATGTTTATGTTGGAAATGTTCATGGTGCTGATTCATCTTCATAATGGATAGTGACAGAGCAAATTATAGTATCTTTACAATTTACACAGAGTACAGAAGAGTTAGAAACAAACTCGAAAGGATTAATATCAATAATATAATATATAATACAAGTTGCAATTGTCGCACATGTCTCGCTCGGTATAAGTGTATATCAACGAGGTCTGCTCAAAAAGTATTGCGAATTTTGTGTTTTTTCCAAAATTATTTATTTACTCGTGAATATATATCTTGTCCCATTCAAAGTAATCCCCCCACCAGATATTATACACTTGTGCCAACGTTTTTTTCAATCCTCGAAGCATTTTACAATTTATTTTTTGTGATCTTGTTCAGCTCCTTCTTCGATGCCGTCTTTATCTCCTCAATGGTAGCGTAGCGTCGTCCTTTCAGAAGGCTCTTTAGTTTCGGAAACAAGGAAAAGTCACAAGGGGTCAGATCTGGGAAATACGGTGGCTGCGGCATTATTAGTATGTTGTTTTTGGCCAAAAATTCGCGTACAAGCAACGATAAGTGAGCAGGGGTGTTATCACGGTGCAAAAGCCAATTTTTGTTTTCCAAAAATCCGGGTGTTTCTGGCAGATTGCTTCGCGCAAACTGCGCATAACTTAATAATAGTAGTATTCCTTATTGACTCTTCCACCCTGTGGCAAGAACTCATGAAGCACCACAGCCCTGCAATCGAAGAAAACTTTAAGAAAATTCGGTCTTCGCTCGTGTGGCAGCTTCCATTGGGATGATGGAGCTTTGGTTTCCACGTCATATCCATAAACCCATGATTCGTCACCAGTTATTACCCTCTGGAGCAAATTGCATCGTCGGGGACAGAGTCGAGCAGCTCCTTAGCAATGTTAATATTATGCTGTTTTTTGTCGAAATTGTGCAATATTAGTACGAATTTCGCGGCGACCGGTCTCATGTCCAAATCATTGGTAAAAATCGAATGGCAGGGGTCAATCGATATATTTAGATCCTCAGCAATTTCAATACCGATGATTCGAAGATTGGCCAATACTATTTTATTCACTTCATCAATGTTTTCGCCTGTTGTTGACGTGATCGGGCGTCCGGCACGCCCTTCGTCGTTCACAACTTCTCGGCCCTCTGAGAACATTTTGTACCACCGATAAACGTTGCTTTGGTCCAAGGTAGCTCCCCCAAATGCTACAGTCAACATTAGGGATGCGTCCGCGCACTTAATTTTGTTTTTCACACAAAATTTGATACATATTTTGGAATAGACAAAAATCAAAAACAAACCAATTAACTGAATATTCAACATGACCGAACTTGAAAGACATGAGCACCAACATAACGGCACAAAAAACAAATCATCGAAAATCGAATATACGTAATCGCGATACTTTTTGAACAGGCCTAGTATATCATCGTGTATAAGTCTCCATCACAAAATAATGAGAATTTTTGTATGTGTGCTGTCGTTGCCAAGAAATTTTTCCTTTATGGATTTAGATTTTATCAGCCCAAATAACTCACTGATATTAATGGTTTCTTTCATATTACGGATACTAACCGACATGTACAAATCGTGTTTTGTTATTTTGTGCACAACTTTCTACGAACACAGTCGGTCAACTTTAATGTTTTATCGCAATTGTAACACTTCCTGGATTATAAAAAGTTGTTTGTTAAAACAGTATACGGGAAGCAGTTTTTATTACACGAAAAACAATAAAAAAATATCTAAACGAAACGTTTCTTTTTTCGTCGAAAAGAAACGGCTTGTCTCTGTTATTTGTATACATTGAATTTTATAGTAGTTTAATAACTAAGCATATTTTTTAATGGATACAGTGAAAAATATCCACTGTTTTTCTAAGTATATTAATGTTTCCTTGTTGTTATAATTGTTTATATATGCAGAAATGGGTACTATTTCAAGGGTGGCTTTTTAAAAACCTTCCTCTCTGACTTTCTAATTAGTACAAAACAAATTTATAATTTACCCTATCAACTCTATTTCTTCTACTAAAGCAGAAGAAGTGATATTGATAATAATTGTTTAAAACAGTACTTTAATTTCTTCTACGATAAAGCTTTTGTACTTTCAATACCGAGGTTTGTACGATAAATAGCTTACAAATCACATCAATTTTGCAAATAGTAGAGGACCAAGAAGGGATCCATATGGAACTCCCAAAAGTATTTTAATTTCTTCTGCCATAAAGCNTGGATACAGTGAAAAATATCCACTGTTTTTCTAAGTATATTAATGTTTCCTTGTTGTTATAATTGTTTATATATGCAGAAATGGGTACTATTTCAAGGGTGGCTTTTTAAAAACCTTCCTCTCTGGCTTTGTAATTAGTACAAAACAAATTTATAATTTACCCTATCAACTCTATTTCTTCTACTAAAGCAGAAGAAGTGATATTGATAATAATTGTTTAAAACCTTAAATCTTTAAATAGATACAGACTACTATGGTTTCTATTGTTAGCATCTACGAATTAGCAAAGAGAAATTGTATGGGCATTAACCATCCTTAATAATAGTAATTAATGTTAATGAATGGTACTTTTATCCATGATAAGAAGGGTGTGTATTAAACGGGAAGTTTCACCTCGTCCAACGATTGAGGAAAGCTTCGATTATACACGATACTCATTTAATTAAAACCTCGACCTAAATTGCAATATGATTGTAGTCATTAGGGTCCGGAAGAAGATTGCCAAACACGTGAAAAGTCTGTTTTAACATTTGCGACTACATGCCGTCAATATTGTTATTTGCACGCAATAGCTGTAATTATTTCCATTTCCATTTCCATTTCTCCTTTATCGATTCGATTGAGCGAGGGCCAGTCTCACTATACACAAATTCCCCAGATATTACTGAAGTGATCCAGGAGAAAGCACAGGTCATTCTTCTTAGTATGTTGAAGACTTTAGAAAACATTGTAAATTAAATGATTAAGGCGTAACACGCAATCAAGACTATATGAACAAGACCAAGACCGATACCAAGACTGGGACAGTATTACACTTTGTCCGGATTTGCTCGATAACCGATTTCGGAATCTTTAAAACTTACTACTAGGTACTATCTTAAAGGTGTATGTTTGGAGCACGACGCTGTACGGGTGCGAAACAGGGACAGTGGGCGAGGCGGAAAGGAAAAGTTAGAAGCTTTCTAATGGTGGTGTTACAGGCGAATGATGAGGATACCGTCGAAAGAAAAGGTTAGAAATGATAGAAGAACAGAGGACTCTATGGATGTCAATAAGAAATAGGCGAGATAGGTTAGTGGGCATGAAGGTCTAGTCAGAGATATATTAGAGGTTGAAACGGATGTTAGGAGGGGTAGAGTTAGACCTAGATTAGATTACTGTTCGCAAATAGTTAAGGATATGGGTTGTTCTAGTTTTAGGGAAATGCGAAGATTAACTCAGGATGGGAAAGAGTCTTAGGACTTAGGACTGAGGACATTATGATGATGATACTATCTATAGACTTCGTTTACTTTCTCCAGCGATGTGCCCCTTCCAATGTCTTGGATGCTCGCTGGCAAAATCGTAGGTAGGAAGAAAAAAGCTCATTATACTCTCGACTCTTGTTCATTAAACATACTTTTTCATACAGTACCTGCCAAAAGTTTTGTTCAATCATGAATAGTAGTGCGAGTCGAAAACAAGCGTTAAAGCCTTTAATATGTCTTCAAATATAAATAAAGATCTCGTTGATATTTTCAGTAGTAAATGGTACGAATAACGATACATTTGAGCAATGCAATTGTAGTGGATAAAATGGTCAATTTTTCCCTGCAGTACTGTACGGATTATACGTTCCTCATCGGTTAAGAGTTTGGCCGAGAGTTGTCTCCTTTCTTTTTTGGCCTAGTGCTGTTCTTTTCTACTTTGCGCCGGTCAAACTGAAGGTCACATCGCTACAGAAACTAAACGAAGTATACATGACGTAATAATTAAGACAAAACGTGCAACTGTCACGTATACATCAAGATGTAATTATGTGATTGTGCCATTTTCTAAATTAAACAACGCATCGATAAGTAATAATTTATTAAATGGCAATCAATATCCCTTCGAATGTGGTATTCTACTTACTCGTGGGCTTTGTCATCTACAAGGAGATATACGGTTTGGTCAGAATTTCTCAGCCTTTCCGCCGTTGTTATGGGTTTACTCAACCCTTGTGCGGAGGCTGATGCTTCTCCCATTGCATTTATCACTTCAGACACTTTGTTCACCGTTTCCCTGAAAAAAAAAATTAATAATACAGCATGGAACACATTTACACAGTGTATCTACACCCTGTATATATAAGTATAGTAACATTATTGAGAGACCGTTGGTGATCAATTGTTCAACGACATACGGCACTCTCTTATTGGTACGAGCAAAGCAGCTGGAACGTATGTTATGCAGTTTACAAAGTTAGTTACGACAAACGACCATCCTACGTTACTAAAACTTTCGGACGTAGGTGATGTTAGTCCTTTTTGTGATAGAGGTGAGGTAAATATGTTGTTGCCATTACTTTTTTGATTGGTCCGTACAGACTATATGGATGACGTAAACGCAGTTTCTCAATAATTTTACACTACAAGTTAAAGAGAAAATGATAAAATCAAGTTTAAATACTATCACGTGCTCACGACTTATAACTGAAGTCTCGCCCTCTAATAACGAAAGAAAATGTTGGGCCACTTGAATTTCGTTATAGACTTGATACTGTATTTCGACTTTTTTACTCGATTAATGCGATAGATATATCATTCACATTTAAAAGCCCTAGGCTACAACATGACCGTGTAGAGCTGCTATACACGTTGCAGCTTTTAGTGCCTAATTAATTTTATTCATTATTATTATGGAGGTCGCGGCGTAACATATAAATTGGCATTGTGTTTGAGTACATCAAGGTCGGTTCAATTTCGGTATCCATTTCAATTAGCTGTTTTAAATTTTTGTATGGAAGTGTAAGACTTTTAAGAGTAGAAAAAGACTTTAAATTTACATATATACAGCATGATAATGGCTTGCTATTACATCGTCCGGAAGACGTCCGGAGAAGGAGACGTTATGAAGCACTTTTACTCTCTGTAATAAGAAGTCTAAAATCCCATGACTTGTAAAGTATCTACTGTAGGTAAATCATTGATGGGGTTTTCCTTTACTTATAAAGAAAATACTGAAAATCATTTAAATTTAGGTTCACTTTTAGTCTCCATGCAGTGTCACACTTCATCAAGATAAAACCTTATTATCTGTCATAATAATAATTCATCAAAAGTTCAAGTTTTACAAAAAAAATCTACAAAACGTTTTAGAATTTCATTTGAGCAATTTAATATTTCAATTTTGAATAAGTGCGTTTTAATACTGTAAAATTGGTAAGTCGCTACCATTATCGTTTTATTCTTGAACCAAAACAACTTCCAAATCATTTTAAAGGCTTTTAAATCAAAGCTAGTTGAGAATAAACAAAAAAAGATATTTTTTCAAACAACAATAGCATTTCTCCTTTAGTATAATGCTCGTCATGGAGCCTTGCAGGTTAATAACAATTTCTAGCAGGATAATCTGCCTGACTGATATATCAAAGTGCAGCCCAAATCCTTAGGACTAGAGACTTGAAACAACGTAAGCGTAAGCGAGCACTAAGAAAAGATTTTTTAAAATATAAACCTTAAAGGGGTAACAAAAGGGTGACAAAGTTTATGTAAGTATTGATCAAGGCACAGCGCAATCCGTAGAGTTAGGAAGCTTGAAATTTTACACAAAGATTTCTCATACCTACAACGAGGAATCTTTCACTGTAAGGTAAGTTTTGAAAATATCATCTCTAAAGGGGTGAGTTTTGGTATCAACGCATATTATAATCTAATAAGGGGGTCAGAAATGTGTTCTTAATCAGAACCCTCAAAAAAGGGGCTTATCATATAATCAAATTCCAGCCAGACGAAGACGTAGGAAATAGCTAGCCAACAAATAAACAGATATATATAAATAAACAAAGGGATGATATCATATTTGTTGGCTAGCTATTTCCTACGTCTTCGTCTGGCTGGAATTTGATTATATGATAAGCCCCTTTTTTGAGGGTTCTGATTAAGAACACATTTCTGACCCCCTTATTAGATTATAATATGCGTTGATACCAAAACTCACCCCTTTAGAGATGATATTTTCAAAACTTACCTTACAGTGAAAGATTCCTCGTTGTAGGTATGAGAAATCTTTGTGTAAAATTTCAAGCTTCCTAACTCTACGGATTGCGCTGTGCCTTGATCAATACTTACATAAACTTTGTTACCCCTTTAAGGTTTATATTTTAAAAAATCTTTTCTTAGTGCTCGCTTACGCTTACGTTGTTTCAAGTCTCTAGCCCTAGGGATTTGGGCTGCACTTTGATATATCAGTCAGGCAGATTATCCTGCTAGAAATTGTTATTAACCTGCAAGGTTCCATGACGAACTTTATTCTAAAGGCGAAATGCTATTGTTGTTTGAAAAAATATCTTTTTTTGTTTATTCTCAACTAGCTTTGATTTAAAAGCCTTTAAAATGATTTGGAAGTTGTTTTGGTTCAAGAATAAAACGATAATGGTAGCGACTTACCAATTTTACAGTATTAAAACGCACTTATTCAAAATTGAAATATTAAATTGCTCAAATGAAATTCTAAAACGTTTTGTGGATTTTTTTTGTAAAACTTGAACTTTTGATGAATTATTATTATGACAGATAATAAGGTTTTATCTTGATGAAGTGTGACACTGCATGGAGACTAAAAGTGAACCTAAATTTAAATGATTTTCAGTATTTTCTTTATAAGTAAAGGAAAACCCCATCAATGATTTACCTACAGTAGATACTTTACAAGTCATGGGATTTTAGACTTCTTATTACAGAGAGTAAAAGTGCTTCATAACGTCTCCTTCTCCGGACGTCTTCCGGACGATGTAATAGCAAGCCATTATCATGCTGTATATATGTAAATTTAAAGTCTTTTTCTACTCTTAAAAGTCTTACACTTCCATACAAAAATTTAAAACAGCTAATTGAAATGGATACCGAAATTGAACCGACCTTGATGTACTCAAACACAATGCCAATTTATATGTTACGCCGCGACCTCCATAATAATAATGAATAAAATTAATTAGGCACTAAAAGCTGCAACGTGTATAGCAGCTCTACACGGTCATGTTGTAGCCTAGGGCTTTTAAATGTGAATGATATATCTATCGCATTAATCGAGTAAAAAAGTCGAAATACAGTATCAAGTCTATAACGAAATTCAAGTGGCCCAACATTTTCTTTCGTTATTAGAGGGCGAGACTTCAGTTATAAGTCGTGAGCACGTGATAGTATTTAAACTTGATTTTATCATTTTCTCTTTAACTTGTAGTGTAAAATTATTGAGAAACTGCGTTTACGTCATCAATATAGTCTGTACGGACCAATCAAAAAAGTAATGGCAACAACATATTTACCTCACCTCTATCACAAAAAGGACTAACATCACCTACGTCCGAAAGTTTTAGTAACGTAGGATGGTCGTTTGTCGTAACTAACTTTGTAAACTGCATAACATACGTTCCAGCTGCTTTGCTCGTACCAATAAGAGAGTGCCGTATGTCGTTGAACAATTGATCACCAACGGTCTCTCAATAATGTTACTATACTTATATATACAGGGTGTAGATACACTCTGTAAATGTGTTCCATGCTGTATTATTAATTTTTTTTTTCAGGGAAACGGTGAACAAAGTGTCTGAAGTGATAAATGCAATGGGAGAAGCATCAGCCTCCGCACAAGGGTTGAGTAAACCCATAACAACGGCGGAAAGGCTGAGAAATTCTGACCAAACCGTATATCTCCTTGTAGATGACAAAGCCCACGAGTAAGTAGAATACCACATTCGAAGGGATATTGATTGCCATTTAATAAATTATTGCTTGTCGATGCGTTGTTTAATTTAGAAAATTGCACAATCACATAATTACATCTTGGTGTATACGTGACAGTTGCACGTCTTGTCTCAATTATTACATCATGTATACTTCGTTTAGTTTCTGTAGCGACGTGACCTTCAATTTGACCGGCGCAAAGTAGAAAAGAACAGCACTAGGCCAGAAAAGAAAGAAGACAACTCTCGGCCAAACTCTTAACCGGT